TAAGTCTGTCCCATGCGATATTTGGAGCATACTTAAACACTAAAAATTATTTGTTGTTTATCTGAAATCAGATCTAACTGGGAGCTCTGTATTTGACGTGGCCATTCTGTTTACCAGGTTACTGGCTCCAGGGCCCGCTGTGACACAGGAGTCATCCTGACATTAAAGTCCTCGGTAACCTGGTTACCTCACTCCCACTCTTCCTTCGAGAGAACATTCACAACAGGCTGACCCCCTCTGCTCCCTTCCTCACGGCAGGAACCAGGGTTTATGCCGAGCACTTAATAGGTGCTCAGTGGAATTTCTGGTAATTGCCTGATGAGTCATGTACTGACCAGGCCCTGCAAGAGAACTTTAACAGGCCAGAAAGCCACTTAAAATGTATAATGGTAAATCAGCACCCGGTTTCTCTAATCAAAGAAATTCTGCAGTTGTCATTTAAAATTTCTTTGGTCTTATAAGTGAGATTAGAAATTCTGAGAAAATTCCTGAAGCAAATGTTCTGTGCCTCCAGTCCTGCCTAAGCTGCTGGCAGCCTGCCTGACACAGGGACTATGACCCGGTTGCTCTTGTTATTAGGCAAGGACGTGGTGACAGCAGTGGTGGAGTGTGCGCATGACCCTGCAATTGTCCATCTCCTAATCACAATATTTCTTCCCCCCTGATTTTTACGTTTATCTCTAATCATAGTCCCGGCTTATGCTCACGTGCTTGGGTGGAGCAGTGGGTTTCTGTTTTGGTGGCTCATTAACTAAAGCTTTAATTAAGAGGTAGTGAGGTGTCTCTGGACTAGAAGGTGTTAGATTTTAGAAATGGATTTCTATCTTTTGGTCAAGTTTAATAATTTTTCAGAAATTTTTAAACTGTCATATTTCTCCTGGTTAATGTACGTATACCCATGCAAGTACTGGCCAGAATCATGAAGACTGGGCCCTGAGAAGTCAGGGATCTTACTTGACCAGTGTAAATCCTTAGCAGTGTCCGGGGTCAGAGGTAATAATGATATATTTGTGGGATAAAAGACTTTATTTAATGAATGGTCTTTTGCAAACCGGCTGCATGGAGCACCACCATAGAACACGGCCACACAAATATGTGTGTGTGCATCTTTGGAAGTTGGGGCAGCTTAGGAAATTCTTCAGCATCCACTAGCTCCATGCCCAAGGCTGCCTCTACTACTGGTGTTGGCTTAACCAAGCCTTCATTGTCTAAGCTAGAAAATGAGAAAGCAGAACCAGAGAAATTCCAAGATTTCCACCTGTGAAATTCTGTGCTTCTAATGTAGAAATGTAATGATAGATGCATGCCCTGGATTGGCATCTTTGTGTAGTATCCATCAGCTTTCCATTTGGTCAGTCTGGGAAATGGGTGAAGATACTTAGTTGATTGGTATTATTCTGGGTTCCTGCTTTTGAATTTAGAAGTAGTGTTATAGTAATAATTATTATTAACAGAGCCGTGTGTGCCTCCTTGGGGGGAAGGTAGACCAAAGATTGGGAGCTTTTCCATGCTCAATAAATGCAAAGATATGGATAGGTTTGGGAGCCTTTTCAATTATGTCTCCTAGTTTTTATTTCCTCTGACGATGAAGAGGTCATATAACTCAATATTTCATTACCCTTTAGAATTTTGGAAATGTAAAGATATTCTTTTTCTGGATATTAAAACTTCCTTTGAAGATAGTGATAGCTTTATACTGAAGAAGTCAACGCTGAGGGACTGGACGTTTATGAAGTCATTGGAAACTCACAGTGCATTTTGTATTCTTTCTTTAAATAGTATATGCGTGTAAAAACAGTTTGCGGTCAGGAAAGCATTATGCATGTAAGACACTCTTATGTTTCCTCAAACTTTTTTTACTCATCTGCTGAAGATGTATTTTTTGGTAGCCTTTGTAATCCAGGCTATTACTTCTGTACTTTAACTTCATTGGTCCTTTGCATTCCCATCTCTGCCTTTCTTCCCTCTGAAGGTTGTCTCCTGATATAAGTAATTGTCAGGTAATCTACATGTAAGATCTTTCAGAAATGAAGCCGTACACATTTTCTTCAGGACTCAAATGTCAAAGGATTGCTACTTAACGGTATGTTCTAAATTTGAACTGAGAGAGTGCTAATGTTTCTATACAGAATAATTCCCTTCCAATTATTTCACTGAAGCATTTTTTTAGCTACAAATATGATTTTATATACATGCACATATATATACTAAAATCTGTATAAGACAAAGTCAGCTTTGTAGTCCTGTAAGAAAATTCTGAGTTATCTATAATGTGGTATGGTGCCAATAATTCATCTTATTAGTCTTTTACTATCTTTTGTTTTCTACAGTGGGGTCACATTTTTCTAATTGAGAATTAATATGGAGGCACTAGATTTAGGTGGAACATTCATCTTTCTAGGTCAAGAGTTTTAGTTTTTTAAAGTGATATCCTCATTACAAATAAAAACCATGGAAAAGCCAATATCTTTCTTCTTGGGAGACTCAAATTCTCTTTTGGCTATACATGTATTTGTGATAACACTATAGTTATGAGTTGTTCTAGCAAAATGTTCTTAGGAAGTAAGTGAATTAGATTTATACAAAATAAGAAAAAGACTGAAAGGATTTCTAGTTAACTATTCAAATGATTTAAATTGTTTTGGGGTGCCAACTAAATTCAGATCTCAAATGAATCAAATAATCAAATAATATGCATCTTAGATTTTACTGATGGCATTTAAGTATCTCTTTTAAGATACTAGGCAAAATTTTAATCACAGAAAAGATTATTGGAAATTAAAGTAACTTTTAAATCAATGTGTGTGATATAAGTGCAAAGAATTTTTTATTTTATTCACCTATCTTATGCTCTAGAAAACATAAGAAGTAACATGTCCTTTTCCTTGAATTTATTAGATTTGTGGGTATAAATTTAAACAAGGTAAGATTATTTTGTGGTTTATGCTTGTTTGAGAATTGATTATGAATATTTTACTTTGATATAGTTCTGTTTCACTTCTTTGTTAATTAGAATTTAAAAACAATTTTGGAGGATGGAATTTCTAATATATATATATATATTTTACTGTTACCTCTCTTTCCTTGATTTTAAATGAAGAAGTGATTCTTAGAGGAAAGTATCAGTGGATCACATTCTCTGGAATGGTTTCACACCATTTGGGGCACATATTGAATTGGCCCACTAAACCCACTTTGAGTCTTGGGTCTTTTCCTGGAGAAACCACAGGAAGTAGCAAGAATTATTCATGAGATTCTAAAGGTAGAACTTACTTGATTCTTTTTTTTAAAGGAAAGTTTGTAGACTTCTAGAGCAGTCATATACTATGTTATTGTATGGAGCCAGTGGGGCAACAAAGTTTTCATTGCTAAAAGGGCTTAAACTTATTCCCCAAGTAAGAAAAAGTATTGAAACTTCGTGCAGCAGCTCAATTCCAAAGAACACTTTAAGCTTTTCTGTTAGCATTAGTCTTTTAGTGTTTATGTTTAAAACTAGTTATTAAGCAAATTGGATATATTGGTGGTTACATTTAATATGGTTTATAATTTTAGTTTTAATATTTTACTTACTAACTCATTCGTGCTTAGTTTGTATGGCTTTGTGTTTTTCTCTTTTGATGTGGTACAGCTTAAACATATTCACATGAGTTAAGCAAACAACATACCCCCACCTCCTCTCCTCTGGTGGCCCTGGAAATCGAGGACTGAAATGAGGAGCTGACCACACCCATCTCTGGGACAGCAGGCCTGTGAGCACCCACTGCTGGGAACACTTACAGACTGAGCCTAATTGGAAAACTGAAATATTGAATGGTTCCAACTAATGATGTCCTGTTTTGTTTTTTGGCTACAGATAGGGAAAATGGGAAGATTTTCCTGAAATGAAATGAAATGAAAAATAGCATTTTTTTTTTTTTTTTTTAAAGAACAGGACCTGGCTAACTATTAGCTATCAGTTTTCTAAGAAGCTGAGTTATTTTTCCATTTTGCTCTTCACAAGATATTTACAGCATTACATGTTTTATTTGGTCTCTGAAAGACTGAATCTGAAAGTACAAAACAGTTTCCAGTTGATAAAGTTATTGGGTCTTTGAATTTATGCATTTAGGTAAGCCAAATATCTATGTCGTTGTCTAGGTGGAATACTTTTTTTTTTTTTTGGCATAACTCAAATGTTTTAAATCTTACACTTGTTCTTTCAGATCATTGGTCCCAACTTCTGGCAGCCAGATGTTCATAAATTTAAAAAAAAGTTGAAGGATTCAAACCTGCTTATTTAAAAAATTTATACATTGATGTACCATATTTGTTAATTTGAATAGTATAAAGCTCTTATATTATTTAACTTTTCATGTGGTTGTATCTTGATTCTCCAACAAGATTGCTAATTTTTTGAGTCAGGGATAGTTCATTTTCTTTGCAATATTTCTCATATATAGTAAGGACCCATTCACATCATTTGTTCATTGATTGATTTACATCTGTGTCTCACCTAATCCAACAATTTAGAAATAAGCAATATTAGGATCTTATCGCTTAACCAGATATCAACCAAATGTGCAAATTCCTAACGACATCTGCCATACTCTGCCTGTGCATGTCAAATCCAGCTCAAGGCAACTTGATAAAATTGACTTTCTGATTAAGATTATGTATGAAGTGAAGGAACTTTGTTGATTACCTCAGATGCGTCTGAAATCATCATGTGTGTCAGTGCTGTGGTGAAGCAGGAAGAAGTGGAACTGTTGTCATTTTGAAGATTAGTGAATTAACCGCATTTTGGCGATCATTCCCTACATCAAAATCACATTTCTTCTAGCCAATTTATGTAGCCAATTTCAGATGCCTTGTAAATTTGTGTTGGTAAGTTTTTTGCTTCTATTACCGAAAATCAAGAATGGAACTTCCTGAAATTTTTTGTATATATATATATTTTTTCCAGGAATAGAATTTAAAAATCTCAACAGTGAAATACTATATCTACTACCATGACTACTTACCAACTCAGCATTGTTCTTGGGGAGTTTGTAATCATAGGAGTAAGGGTAGAGTATCATCTGGGAGTATGAGTGGATTGTCAGATATGCTTTGATGGAAGAGAGGTTGTTGCGGATGAAATTAGCCAGGGCCTTGGTCTCTTTTTCAGACTCTGCAGCAGATCCACAGTAAGTTTCATCACAGGGGTTTTTAGAGGCTCCGATAGCTGGAAAAACGTATTGTTGTTAATGGCAAATGGTCATCTACTGACGTTCCCACAGGTCATGTTTCAAAATTTCAAATTAGAGAGTTAGAGAGTTAAAAAATAAGTTGTTTTCACAGGAGTTTTTATAATCATCCTCATGTATGTGTACATTATAAAGTATGCATACATTTAATCACAAGAGTAGGGTGTTTTTAAGCTAACAGGCTAAAAAGTTGCATGTGAACTCACCAGTATGTCCCTGTGTAGTGCTAAACAATGAGATCAATATAGTGTAAGAAGATTAATAAGTAGGAACAAACTAATATCCATGAGAAATTTCTATATTAGTATAATCATTTACTGAGAGTTGAATCACAATTGTATTTAAATAATTGTTTAAATAATTATTTAATGATGGTCTCCTCTAGATTTTACATTCCACGAGTAGTAGGATTATGTCTGGTTTGTTCAGTCTTATGTTTCCAGCGTCTAGCACAGCTGGGAACATAATAAAATAAGCAATACATTTTTATTGACTGAATAAACAAGCTGTTTATTGTCTGTGCTTTCAGAAAGTTAGAACTCTAAAATATAAAATTTTATATTTTTTTCTTATTTTAGACACTAATGTGTTTTCCTGTTACTTTCTTCCTATGCTTTTCAAAAGATGCATGCAAAATGGTCAGCCAGATACTTACTGCACCAACCAGCATCAAAATTTCTGTTGGGGTCTGTGCCAATGCAGGTGGATCCAGCGTTGGTGGAGCGGGTCTTTCTCCACATTCGGTACTGAAAAGTGCAGTTTATGGTTAGGACAAGTATAGTAGAAAGTGGTTGGTTTTAATTTCATTGGCCCCTCTCAGTATTGGTTCATATACCTTGGTCCAGGTATAGATGTAGCCATCGATATTGACCACAGGCAAGACATAAAAGTCTAGCTTGTCGAGAAATTCTGTCATGTTGCTCTCATGTCCATAGGTGCGAACAGCCTGTGTATAAATTACAAAGCAGAATTTCATGGAAAAATGGAATGCATTATGCTGCTAAAATTTACATAGACGAGATGAATGTTGACTTTGGTAACAAAAGTGGCATCCCCTTTTGAAGTAGATATTATTAATATTTAAAAAGCAAATAGCAAAATATTACTGACAGTTTTGTTTAAAATAGTTTCTAGTTCTTCCCTTTTTCTAGGATACTCTGTTTCGGTGGTCCCCAACCTTTTTGGCACCAGGCACCGGTTTCGTGGAAGACAGTTTTTCCACGGATGGGGGTGGGGGGTGTTCAGGCGGTAACGCGAGTGATGGTTCAGGCGGTAACGCGAGCGCTGGGGAGCGGCAGATGAAGCTTCACTCGCTCACCCGCCACTCACCTCCTGCTGTGCGGCCCAGTTCCTGACAGGCCGTGGACAGGTACCAGTCCACAGCCCGGGCGTTGGGGACCCCTGCTCTATTTCATCCATATATACCTCATATAATTATTACTTTTTATTTTAACTATTTACTTTAAAGATGAACGAAAATTCAATAAAATTAAAGACTTAAAGAACGTGAATACTCATTTCCTTTGAAATAGTAACTGTAATAACTTTTTTTCAAAGTTAGTAGGATATGAGGGTAAGAACTTTCTTTCAAAGTTAGTAGGCTATGAGGGTATTCCTAGTAAGTAAGGAATGTCTGTGGATGGCTCTGCATGTTCCTAATACTGTCATCTAGAAATTTGTTTAATTTTGGTGAGACCTCCTGTAGATGGTCTCAGTAGAGGAAGAAGAATGAAAAAGGCTCCCACTATGAAGTGAGATCACACTGATGGATTTTGGAGAGGCTCTCACCAAGTCTCAAGTTGCATAATGATGGAAGTCTTCTTCTTATTCCTCTTACTTGAGAAGGGAACTCTGTTAAGGGTCTAGCTCTCCCTGCTAAGTGATGTGGATACCTATCTATGAATGAAGGACCTCATACCCATTTATTATGTTCTCTTAGTCACAGTTCTTCAGCCCCAGGATTACATTAAATTTACGTTCAACTCTTCCCTAGGCTTGCTTGAAGAGATTTTTAAGATATTTACGGTTTCTGTGTAGTAACAGTTTTTATATATTCTTCATGGCTCTATACATGTATGTTTATTAAAATAACACACGGTAAAGCATGTGCTTTTTCTGTTGGAAGAGCTATAGAACCATGTTCTGTTAGTGGTCTGTGATTAGAGGTAACCAAAGTAATGATGAAAGTCTTTCTTTCTAGATGGCAGATAATGGGATACTCACTGAAATTAAATGGTGCCAGTTGGACACATAACATGTCTAGAAACCAAGAGCCTAAAGAATAGATACAGAAGTGCTTTACCCAAAAGAAATTATCTTGTATATAATAATAGTCTTATATTTTTAAAGTATTTCAATATTTTAAACTTTACTTTTGAAATAATTTTAGACTTATAGAAGAGTTGCAGATACAGGGAGTTCTCATATACCTTTTACCCAGCTTCCCCGCACTGTAGTTGGTCGTCACGTCTCCTCTTATCTGTGACAATTCCTCAGACTTTCCTTTATGACTTTGACACAGGTGTTGTTAACCTTGATCACCTGGTTAAGGTAGTTTCTGCTAGGCTTCTCCATTGTAAATTTTGCCTTTGTAATGTAATACATATTTTTTAAGAGATACTTTGCTGCTGCAAATAACCTAGTTGTCTTTAAACTTTTACCCACTAATCCTTGTATCCATCTGTAGATTTTCATGAAGTAGTTATTACTGTGGTGTTCTAATGGTAACTTTCTATTTTGCTCATTTGTACATGTATTAGTTGTAATTCTTCTATAAGAAAGAGTTGTTCCTTCTCTCCCTTTTTTTTAATTTATTGAATCATCTATACCATTATGGACTCATGGATATTTAAAAGGGTTTTTACATATATCTTACCATTAGAATTATAAAGGAGTGGAAAACAGTATCACTTAGAATAGGGACCACTATGTATTGTTTTCTTTTACTCTGAAGTATACATTGATTATTACCTAGGAGATAATGATCAAGTTAGTGGTTTTTCCACAATCATTAACTTTTAAATGACCTATCCACGATATTTACTACCTGTTAGCCTTTCTACCAAAGGTGGGTAAGAAAGTTAAGATGAGTGAAATACAAATAAATACCATTTGCTAGCTGTTTAAAAATTTTGCCTTATCAAGTTTCTTGGTGACCTTTATAGCTTGGACCTTGGAATTATGAATTTTTTCTATGCTATTATTCTCTTTTATTATAGTTAGATTACAAGGGATTGATTGAAATAAAAAAAAATACTTTCTACTTTCCTCTGCCAGTAATCATTCTACATACTGACCTCTCTCACAAACCACTGGCAAAATGCAGGGGAAATCCACTCTCTGGCATGGAAACCGCAGTCCATGAAAATGGCAGGCTTATTTGGTCCAGGTCTCCCAACCTATTACAAACAAAAGGAAAAGGGAAACTGTGATTCATCATATTCAGGGGTTAACATTCACTACCCATCTGGGCTTTGGACTCAACAGGTGAAACCTGACAGCAGCAAGAGGTACATTCCATGATTAAATTAAAACATAATACTAGCACGGTATGTTCTTGCCTCTAGACACTCACAATATTTGAGCTGAAGGCTTACATGGCTGTTTATTATTTTTATTAAGCTTGACAAGCTCATATTTTTCAGAAGATGCTTGATTACCCTGCTTAATTGTACTCACATGGAGGTTATTTTCTGCTGCTACTATTAGGAGACGTGACCAAGACAACTGGATGAGTAATTAGAAGTAATCATGATTCTTGCTAATCTTGTAAGAAGTTTTCCTTCTCTCCCATTTATTCCATGTCTTTTTATTTTCTTCATTAGAATTGCATGATAAAAATGGCATTAGAGGACGACAGAAACAAATTGTTGATACGCTGTGTACCGTTGTCTGATAGATATGAAGTTTATGAACCTCTTTAGCAAATGGATTTGCAAACAACATCTGGGAGAGGACAATTTCATCAAGGTAGATGATCATTTACATTGCTTTCAGGAATGTGGTTAAATTTATAGGACTGCTCTTATTTTATTGCATTTTTTCTTTTGAATAAATCAAAATAATGATTTAAACATTTACATATGATAAAACAATCTGGGGAACCTGTTTGAGGCAGGGAAAGAGTTATAACAATGTTTGGGATGAATATGTCTGTGAAACAGATGTTAATGTGTTAGAATTCATTGATTTAAAGCCCTCAGACATGGGAAGGTTATGGTTAAAAAGGATTACCTTGAGGAGGTATATAGTGTTTCCTAAAAATGTAGTTCCGATGGCACTGCGAGAGATGAGGTCTGGATTTTCACTGGCGACTTGTTGAGTCCAAGCCTCTATCTACCAAATGGAACCATTTGTGAGTTAATGTGACATTCTTGGTTCAATTCCCAAAGCAATGTCTGTCTAAATCACGTGCGCATCATACCGTTTCCCAGTTGTTGTACTTCTCGTAACTGTGTCCAGTTGCACGGAACCTGCTATCAAACTGAGCCTCCAGCACAGATCTGAGGTTGCTTATTAATACCCTGTAATAAATCAGAGGGGGTGCTCCTGTAAACATAAGCATGTTTCCCAGTCAGCAAAAACCCAGAGTTTCTGCTTTAGCCGATGGTACAGTACATTCTCCATGAAGTCAGATCTGTCCTCTGATTATGCCTTTCAACTTGAGCTACTCATCACAAAGTAAGTAAATCATTGAGAAGGATACTGGAGACTATGAGCAAGGCAGGCTCTTCTTTGGCCCAAACTTCACCTGTTTGGGGGTCCTTGGACCTTAAACTTGGAAAATGATTTCCCTGGTACCTGGGGCATTCTGCATCAGGGCCTTGGGCTCAACACAGAAGCATGCCCTTAAGCCCTATCGATGGTCTTTCTTCCTCAAGATTTTCCTTGTTTTAGCACTGAAAGTCCCATGTCCCAGGAACCTACTCAATCCCAGGTAGATTGGGACAGCCAGTCACCTGAGGCCTTTCTCTAGGTTTTGAGAAAAATATCTTGATGGGTGGAAATTCAGAAATATTGACAAGCTAAAGATTTTTTTAGACCAAAGAATACTGAGTTTAAAGTATTCGTTTCTGCTTGCCTTTCTTTTGGCTGGTTTAAAGTAATATAAGAATGGTTCTGTAGCAAGGTAATATGAAAATTGGTGACAGAAACTTTGAGGCTTGCTTATTTCTAAAAATGATTATTCAGGTGAAAGGTCTTATTATAAGAGGCACGTGTGAAGGTGTGGGTATATATGACTTTGTTTCTCTTTGCTACTTTTGAGTGGAAAGTGTGTTCTGAAGGGACAAAATTTTATGAGCATTAATGTCCTTGATCATAGACTGTAAATACCATGGGCAGTAGTTAGTTTACAGAAACTTCTATTATCCACAGTCAAGCCTTGAAATGTTTTTATCTGACACACAGAGAATTGTAGCCGCATATCAAAAGTCTACTTCTCCTCCAGCTGCCCCAAGGGCATTCTGATCAAGTATGTCAGGGACATCCTCTGAACCTCCCTCCTGCTCCCTCCTTCTTTTGGTTAACTGTGCATGAACTTGTGTCTGTTTATGGAAAATACAATAAATTAATACTAAATGATATTTGTTTCCTAGCAAGAGGCAAATACTGTCTTAAGGGCTTAACTATCTTAAGGTAGTATTAAAAAAGAAAAAAAGAAAAGGAGAAGAGTTTAATATTTATTCCGTGGAAAGAAAATTTCCCATTAAGCAGCCATCAGTACTTTGTTAGTGCTTTCATTTCTATGGCTGCTATAAGTTACCACAAACTAAGTGGCTTAAAACAACATGAATTTATTATTTTACAGCTTAGAAGTCCAACACAGGTCTCACTGGGCTAAGATCAACATGTGAACAGTGAAGTGCTTTCTGGAAGCTCTAGGGGAGAGTCTGATTCCTTGCCCTTTAAAGGCTGCCCACATTCCTTGGCTGTTTGCCCTTCTCCATCTTCAAAGCCAGCAATAGCAGCTCAAGTCCTTCTCATGTTTCATCACTCTGACTTCCTCTTCTGCCTCCCTCTTCCACTTGTAAGGACCCTGTGGTTACTTTGGACTTCTCAGGACAATTTAGGATAATCTACCTATTTTAAGTTCAGCTGCTTAGCAAACCTTAATTCCATCTACAATCCTAACTTCTCTTTGCCATTAGCGTATATTCAGATGTTCTAGGGGTTGGGATGTAGACATTTTGGAGGGACAGTCATTCTGCCTGCTATAGTTAGGAACAATGATTATAGTAAGTGCTATAATTAATTATATTCAACACCCAAATTGGATTGTTAGGGAACAGGGTGGAATTAGAAAGAATCTAGAATTAGAAATCAAAAGATCAGGGTCATAGTTTTGCCTAACATGTAAATTGGTTTCAGCAAAGTCATTTAATCTCTGGGCCTTATTTCATAATTTGTACAATGGGATATTTATTAGCTGGTATTCAATGTCCTTTTCAGTTCTAAAATGCAATGACTTGACTCAAATTCCTAGGCCTTGGTCATTTACATAGATGTCTTCCAAGGTTTATGAAGAAAAAAAAATTAAACTACAGTAAAGTTGCCAGTTACCACCTTCATAAACTCTAGGGAAACATCTAGAATAGAGATAGTTTAGGTAAATGATTTTCAAATATAGCTAAAAACTAAAAACAAAACCAAAACAAGTAAAACAAAAACCTTGAAAACTGAAAATCAACAGGCAGAAAGCTTTAAGAAAACAACTGTATTCCAAGATTATCAGTTTGAAAGAACAAACTGATAATTCCAAGATTGTCAGTTTGAAAGAACAAATCCTGCCTAACAAGGATGAACTTCTCTGACAGAATGGCAAAACTAAAAATCCAAGAGGAAATGGTAAATGACATCTACTTTCCCTTTAACAAGATTTTCCATTGACAGCGAGTAAAATAATCATCTAGGTCGCATGGCTTCTTAGTGGTGGTCCAGAGAAAAGAAATCATCAGTTAATTGCTCCCAGGCATTCTACAGCCTCAGGACATTCAGTAGACATTTGTCCCTAAGACCATAGCCATAATGATCTCTGACCTACCAGGAACCAGCTCTGAGTAGAGGGGGGAAATAGGGCTTCCACAGCGTATTGCAATATCCTTCTTTTGCATACAATCCTCAAATTCAAATTATTTGGGAGAATAAGTGACAGTGTGGAGGTTAGTGTTTTGTTTGGTACTAAGAAGAGACAATCTGTTAGAGTTATTATTATGTTAATATTTAAACATTTTCATCAATAATCAGGACAAAGAAGCATAATAAAACCAGTTAGATTTAAGATGACACCCAAGAGTAAAAGTGTCCTCTAGTAACTTGCAAAAGAGTATCAGAATGAGGTTGAAATGTGGTGCTTTTGCCTGAAGGTGGGAAATTGACCTTAAATGATCCTTTCCAGCCCTATGATTTTATTAGATTTAGAACAAAGTACTACTTTAGCCACATTACAAAATATTATTACTAAATAATGAGCTTCTATTCTAGGAGGTTAAAATAATGACTCATAATGTAATAGGGACTGCATTACAGCTGCAAAATACAGAGACACGTACACTATTTTATACTTTTATATGTTCCTTTTATAGTGCTATCCCACTTCTTTTTTTTTTTTTTTTTTTCTAAGCATGCAGGCAAATTAGATAACGGGACTCCCAACAAAGCAAGAAACACAATGTCTGAGGAGTAGCGACATGAGTTAGTTTTCTCCCCCTTTCAGATTCCTGAAAAAGGAGTATTAGGTCAGTCCCCAGACTACACACCCATTGCTATTGAAGAACATTACTATGTACACATTGTTATCCAAGGACACTTTACTGATCGAATCTGAAATATGCAGAAAAATGTTATAGGCAGATAGCAACCATCAGTCTCTTCCTGCATTGGATAGGGCATAGACCACCTTACTGAAATTTGTAAGAAGGAATTCTGTGAAGGCCCACCCACCGAAAGATTCTGTCAACTTGGCTTCAGAACCATAAGTGGGAGATTTACACCATCCAATTCCTAGTCTTTCTGTACCTAGGGTGTGACATAAGCATTTAAAAATACAGTTATTGGGGGGGGGTGAAGTCAAGATGGCAGTGTGGGAAGATGCAGAGTTCACGTCTCCCCACAACTAGGGTGCCTGCCAGATGCTGGTGGGGGACACCGATGCCCAAGGAGACGGGAAGAACCCCCAAGCGAACTGGTAGGACGTGGGAGTACGGATGCCGGACAGGACTGGCGCCCCTGAGGGGTGGCTGAGAGGGACCCTTGGGGACTCAGATCGGGGGGGAATGGGCCCAGCGTTTCCCCTGCCCAATCGGCCAGGGAAGTCTGCCCAGCTCTTGGGCCAGGTCCTATGCCCTCAGAGGTCCCCTCCAGGCCGGGTTGGTCCTGGGAGCATAGGAGGGAGCCCAGGAGAGAACAGGAAAGGCAGGTGGGAGGGGCCCTCCAGGACCAGAGGAGTAGAAAGGAGCAGAGGGCGTTTGCCCCACCCACTCGGGCTGGGGGAGCCTGCTGAGCTCCCAAGCCAGTCCCCTGCACTCCAAAGTCCCCTCCAGGCCACGTGGGCCCTGGGGGCATAGGAGGGAGATCAGGAGAGGCAGGTGAGAGGAGACCTCCAGGAGGAACAGGAGAGGAGTGGAGGAAGCCTGCTGGGCTCCCAGGTGGGGTCCTCTGCCCTCTGAGACCAGAGGTGGGAAGCACACCTGGGCCTCTTCTGTTGAGCCTAAGGCGCCCCCACCCTCGGACTTTTCCAGCCCTGTGGGTCCTAAGCAGAGGCCCCGCCCACCACCCAAACCTCACCCCTACTTAGGCCCTGCCCTCCACAGCCAAGGCCTTTTCCACCTTTTTTTTCCTTCCTTCTCCTCTTTTTTTTACTATTGTGGCTCTGTTTTACCTTCCAGTTGTTGTTTCATCTATATTTTTATTCTTATATGTTTTCTAACATAGCTGTTAGTTTCTAAGTCTAATTTTACTTTTTACTTTGTTATTGTCTTTTTTTTGGCCATCCTGCACAACTTGCAGGATCTTGGTTCATGAGCCAGGGGTTGGGACGAAGCTCCTGTGGTGGGAGCTCTGAGTCCGAACCACTGGACTAACAGAGAGCCTCAGACCCCAGGGAATATTCATTGGAGTGAGGTCTCCTGGAGGTCCTCATCTCAGCACCAAGACCCAGCTCTACCCAACAGCCTACAAACTCCAGTGTTGGAAGCCTCAGGCCCAACAACCAGTAAGACGGGAACACAATCTCACTTATAACAAAAAAGGAAAAAGAAAATTGAGATGGCAAAATAAAAATGTCACAGATGAAGGAGCAAGGTAAAAATCTACAAGACCAAATAAATGAAGAGGAAGTAGGCAATCTACCTGAAAAAGAATTCAGAGTAATGATAGTAAAGATGATCCAGAATCTCTGAAATAGAATGGAGGCATGGATTGAGAAAATACAAGAAATGTTTAACAAAGATCTAGAAGTACTAAAGAACAAACAGACAGAGATGAAAAACACAGTAACTGAAATGGAAAATACACTATAAGGAAT